ATTGCCTGAACCCAAGAGGCGAGGTTGCAGTGAGCCGAGATCGCGCCATTGCACTCCACCCTGAGTAACAAGAGTGAAACTCCGTCTCAAATAATAATAATAGTAATAATAATAATGTATTCCATAATCTCTACTTTTGATAGAATATTAGATATGAATCATATTAAACCATCCCATTTTATAGAACCATAAAGGTAAGTTACAGAAGTGAAGTAGTCCAACGAAACTGCTAGTTAACTGTCAGCGCTTTAGAGTCCTCATACAACTTTGCAAAAATACGCTTAACCAGCCACTAAATTCTCTAGAGATAAGAAGAGAAAAAGTGGAGTAAGCAAAGGAAAATAAGGGTCATGGAAACCAAAGGAAAAGAGGGTTTCAGGAAAAAGGCAATAATTAAAAGTGTGAAATGCACTTGAAAGCTCAGAGAGGGAAGAATTGTAGCAGATGGATTGAGACTAATTGAAGGTCAGGGGTGATTTTTGATGAAGACAATTTTGTAGAGCATGCAATGGTGAAGCAGATTTAAATCTGATGATGAATAAATGGAATAGCTCCAGACATTTATTTGTGAAGTATGGACATGAGAAAAAAAGGTAGGAGAAAGGAGAAAATAAAGTGCCATGAGCTCTTTCTACTTTTCAGTGACTAGGCTAAGGGCTGTAAATGTACACTAGCCTATTTATTATGTGAACAATTTATATCCTACATATTATTTTATTATAGAAAAAAGTTGAGGGCCGGGCACGGTGGCTCACGCCTGTAATCCCAGCACTTTGGGAGGCCGAGACGGGTGAATCACAAGGTCAAGAGATTGAGACCATCCAGGTCAACATGGTGAAACCCCGTCTCTACTAAAAATACAAAAAAAATTAGCTGGGCATGGTGGCGCGTGCCTGTAATCCCAGCTACTCGGGAGGCTGAGGCAGGAGAATTGCCTGAACCCAGGAGGCGGAGGTTGCGGTGAGCCGAGATTGCGCCATTACACTCCAGCCTGGGTAACAAGAGCGAAACTCCATCTCAAAAAAAAAAAGAAAAAAGTTGAAGTTTAAAGCAGTTGTTTCAAGGGTGAGTATTAGAATATAATTTACAAATCAAACATAACCTAAGCGATAAAATCAAGACACAGAATATATGTAAGCTTGAAGGGAAAGATGAATGCACCCTAGAAAGAGATTTACTAGCAAGGATGGGTAAAACATTTGAGAGAAAATGTTTCAAAAATCCAGAAGAGATGTAATCTTTCTGGTAGTAGAGTAACAGAATGGATAAGCTTTACAGAAAAGACAGTGTATTAACCTGACAAATTTGAAGTAAGAGATAGTAAAGGTTTATATGAATTGCCTTTCTCTGTACTTCTTAAAAAGAGCCTACCTTTCTTAGCTGCCTCTTTTGCTGAGCAATACCAATTTAAATCCCCAGATTACCACTCTAATGACCATAGAGATATATGTATCTTCATATGATTTACCTTATATGTTGTGTTACAAACCTATAGTTTATGAACTACAAATATGACTCTAGCTAAGAAGCATATTTCTTTTTTAATTAAAAATAGCTTAATACTCCCACTTATTGTTTGTTGGACATTATTTGACCTACATATGTGCAAAGAAGTTAAAAATGTCATTTTCTAAGAGGATACTTGATACTACATGATTATGACCAATTGTTTGCATAAGAATGACCTGGCTTACTAGTTCACTAGCATGCTAGCATTTTTAAAAATAATATCAAAAGTCAATTAATATTGTTTTAAATGTTATATAAAAATAAAACTTTAAGCATGTGAGACTCAGAATATATATCCTCCCGGTTCATCCATGGTGTTGTAAATGATGGAAATTTTGATTTTTTATGGCTGTTTAGTATTCCATTTTTTATACCACATTTTCTTTAAACAGTCATCCACTGATAAGGCTATTGTGAATAATCATACAATACATATGGGAGTACAGATATCTCTTCAACGTACTCTTCAGTTACACAGCAATTTAGCAGTATCTGCATAAGCAGTTTTATCAGTTATACCTGCCTACTATTGCATATATATTCAAAAGATGTAAAATCAGTATCTCTTCAACACTGATTTCATATCCTTTGAATATATACCCAATAGTAAGATTGCTGAATCATTTGGTAGATCTAAATTTAATGTTTTGCATACCTCTATAATATTTTCCATTATGGTTGTGCTAATTTACATTCCAAGCAATCATTGTAAGGGCTCCCACTTCTCCACATTCTTGCTTAAATTATATTTTTTAAAAATAATAGTCATTCTAATAAGAGTGAGAAGCTGTCAATTTGCATTTCCCTAATGACTAGTGATGCTGAACTTTTTTCATATACCTGCTAAGCATTTTGTATGTCTTCTTTTGAGAAATATCTATTTAGGTATTTTTGCCCCCCTTTTTAAAGAGGTTTTTTTCCCCTCTATTGAGTTGAGTTTTTTATATATTTTGGATGTTAAACCCTTAACAGACATATAGTTCACAAATACGCAAATATTTTCTCCCTCTTTTAGGCTGTCTCCTTATTCTATTAATTGTTTTCTTTGCTGGGCAGAAGATTTTTAGTTTACTGTAATCTCATTTATCTAGCTTCTTTCTCTTATTTCTGGTTTTGTGGTCTTACCCAAAACATCCTTGCCCAGACCACTGTCATGAAGCTTTTTTCTTATATTTTCTTCTAGTAGTTTCATAGTTTCAGGTCTTATATTTAAGTCTTCAATCCATCTTGAGTTGATTTTTTTATATGGTGAGAGATAATGGCCTAATTTTATTTTATACATGCTTTCCCAACACCATTTATTAAAGAGACTGTCCTTTTCTCAATGTGTGTTCCTGGCTCCCTTGTCAACAACCTGTAGGCTGTAAGTATATGGATATATTTAGGGGCTTTCTATTCTAATACATCAGTAAATGTATCTTTTTTTTAATGCCAATACCATGCTTTTTTGGTTAATATATTTTTGTAGTATAGTTGAAAGTCAGGTATTGTGATACCTTCAGCTTTTCTTTTTATTTTTAAGCCAAGCACAGAAAGAAAAATACTAAATATCACATTTATATGTAGAATCTTAAAAAGTTGATTTGATAGATGTTGAGAGTAGAATCATAGTTACCAGAGGCAATGAAGTGTAGAGGAGAGGAGATAGGGGAGAGATTACTTAATGATATGCTGTTACAGTTATATAAAAGGAGTAAGTTCTAGTGTTTTATTTCATATTTGGGAAACTAGAGTTAATAAAAATGTATATTTAAAAATAGCTAAAACAGAAGAGTTTGAATGTGTACATTATAAAGAAATAAGAAATATTTAAGGTGATGAATATACTGGTCACCCTGATTTAATAATTACACAATATATGTTTTGAAACAGCACATTGTATCCCATAAATATTTTCACTTACTGTGTGTCAATCAAAAATTAACCAGAAATTATAAAAAAGAGAACAGTTGTTCTTCAGTGCTTCACAATTATTATATAGTGAACACATAATAATATAAGAAGAAATTTTAACAGTCTAGCAAACATTTGTATTCATTAAGGAGAGCTTTCATAATCAGACCCAATCAGACCCTGATTACACAGCAATTTAGCCTTATCTGCACACAAAGTTTTATCAGTTACACCCACATTCTATGTGCACAAGAATTGTTTGGGATACTGTGAAAATATAACTGCAAAAATGAAAAATTCCTTGGTTAAAATTAGACAAAGAATTTCATAGATTACAAACATTATCATTTATGCCTGGCAAGTAACTCACAGTATCTCATAGAATGGAAGAATTAAAATAGGTAAAATACGTGTGTGCCTCACATCTCACCTAGTTGGATGTGTTCATCTTGGGTCTCACTTGTTTTCGAGGATCCTGTAATGTAACCCAGGCTTTAATCATTGAAACATTATCTTCTCATACTTCCTAATGTAAATCCTGCTTGCAGTCAACCCAGCTTTCTGAATGTCACCTTTTTTTTTCTCATCCATACCTTGAGCTCATTATCTTTTTCTTTTTCTCTAGCAATCTCCCACTAGCAAAGTATAATGAATTCTTCGTCTCTTTTGTGTAATATTAGTTAACTGCTCTTTTAACTCTATATTCCTTATCTATGTATTGTTTAGTTTACTCATTTCTACTCTTGCACATATATGCATGTATTTTTTTTTCCTTTTCAACTATAAGCACTTGGAGAATAATGTGTTTTATACATCTTCATTACTGGAGATTGATTTACATGATAGATACTCACTATGTATATATTCAAATTAATTGAATTATTTCATTGCTATGCCTTAATATACAAGCACCTTGTGTTGAAAAGATTCCATTTTACTACATATTTCTAATGGTGTTGCTTAATTCCTCTTTGAAAATACTGTCTTCATGATCTCATGACTTTTAATGTGATGATAACTTTTACTATCTGATTTATAATAATTTCATCTTTGGCAACTTTAAGCCTGTGGATTATTTTCTTTATATTCTCTTGTCCCATTTATATTTCTGTACAAGTTCAGAAATCTCTTCTCTATCATAAAGTTTCTCCTCAAGTTATTCAGAATTACTCTTACATCATGTATCAGATAATTTAGATTGGTGTTTTCTGGACTGATTAACATAACTACTGAGGAAAAGAACAAATTACAGAAGAGTGGCATAAGAAAAGAGGCATACAGTAGTAGTAGTTGGACACAGTGGATGTGCTGGGAGGAGGTGGTGACGTCCTCCACGTCGACCTTCAGGTTGGAGGGGATCTTGATGATGGTCCTGTGCTTGTGCATGATGGCTACAATCTCGTACTTGGGCCTCAGGGTCACATGGTCCGAGGACAGGATGGGGCAAGTGAAGAGCTGGTCCTTCTGTTCCTGAAGGGCCTTGAGCAGAGTTTGAGGAGCACTGGGTTCCAATATCCTAAGGGCCCCCTCTGGTCTAGGGGCAGGTGCAGGATGACCCGCTCACCCTCCATGACCAGGACACAGCAGGCACAGGAGGTATGGTGGTGCTACACCGCAGCCTCAAAAATGAGGACCTGGTCGTCAGTCACCACCCTGCCCTCTGTGACAATCCTGCAGGTCAACATGATGTTAATGGGCAGCTGCTGCTTGGAGCTCCGATCTGTGTCAAAGACCAGCTCCTCCAGGATTTCATAGCTCTGAGAGATCTTGAGGGAGATGAAGTGGCCCTGGAAGTTGGGCTCGATTGTCCTGACCACTATTGTTATCCTCAGGTTCTCATAGATCACATACTGGAGGCAAACCTGGGTGATCTTGATCAGGTCCCCCTTGCAGAGCCAGCACTCTTTCCCCCTGATGTCATAGATGGAGTTCGAATAGTAGGACTGCGAGGAGATCGCAGCATGTGCGGAAGGGAGGCGAGTTCCAGGGTGCACACAAAATCCTCCAGAGGCATGGGTTCCATGGTACCCGTGGCTCTCTGCTGCTGAGTGAGGTCCTGGCCCTGGAAGGCCCCTTCCTCCTGTCCATGGAGATCCTGAAGGTTCCTGAATGGTGCCACATCTTCTTTAGCCCATGGTGCGCTCCTTGAAGAGAGGCCAGAGGCTTTGCATCTATGGCCTAGCCTCACCACCCTGGTGGGTCCTGGCCTCAAACAAGGGCCTCAGGGAGCCCAGGGTCCTCCTGGTGTCAGGGGCCTACCAGGGCAAGATACGGCAGCGGCCAAGGGAGTTCCCCACAGCCTATGACCTCCCGGGTGCATCCAGCCAGGCCGGCCGCTCCAGGTGTGGCCACAAAGGATTCTGAGGGCAAGAGAGAAAAGAATCCTAAGTTCACATCCCTGGCTGTGGGTGACAGGCTAGAGGTACTGCAGCCTGGCCTGGCCCATGGGGCCCAGGGCAGTGTCATTGACGTCTTGGTTTGTCAGCCACTGAGTGATGAATATGAGGAGGCAGAGAGCCCAAAGCGGGTCCTGCTGCCCCTCCACTTCCCTGACAGCTTCGTGGAGGAGTTGAGTTACAGCTGATGGTACAGCCTGGCAAATCTGATTGCCCAGTTCTCACTGCCTTTTGAGGTCAGGGTGATAGTCAAGGATCCCAGTTACCCCAGTAAACTTCTGACTGCTGTACTGGGTCTGTAGCTGGAGGAGAAGATCACAGAGCCCTTCTTGGTGGTCAGCCTGGACTCCTAGCCTGGGATGTGCTTTGAGATCCCTCCCTGGTGGCTGGACCTGATTGTCGTGGAGGCTGAGGTGCAGCCAGACAGGCCAGAGGGCCTGTGCCCATAGCCACAGTGGAGGAGCTGCCAGACACCTTCTATTACACTCTTCAGAAGTTAGCAGCCTGTGAGATCCAAGCTCTTCCACAAGGCCCCCTAAAAGTCAGGGCCTCAGCGGGCAGAGGAGACATAAGAGGAGCAAGAAAGGAGGCATCAAGTCCTCTCAAGTCTTAGGACTGCAGCAACCCCCTGCACTACCCAAACCCAAGGCGAAGACCTTGCCAGAGTTCACCAAGGATAGCTCCAGTATGTACAGCAAGGATAGCTCCAGTATGTCCTGGCCACAAGAAGGGCCACAGGACCACTAGGCCCCAAACACAGGATCTAGGTGATAATGAGCATGATTATGAAGGAAAACTTGAACACTTTCAGAAAACCATCTAAGTTCTGGAGGAACCATGCCTCCTAACTGCTGTTTCTCAGGGAATCTGATGCCAGCCAATCGTTATAAGCCTCTAAAAGACCTTGGGCAAGACCTCATGAAAACTGAACTGCGCACAGTTCAGGTTCCAGATTCCTGCTACTTAGGGTGGGCTGGTTTGGACCTAACACCTCGCACATGACTCCCTCGGCCTCAGAGCCTTGGGATGCTGAGCAGCTAGCAGGGTTACTCAATCCTGCAACCCCAGCTGTCCCACCGATGGATGTGCATGAGAATCAGAGGCCACCAACCTTGGTGATACCACTGGTTCTCAGTAAAGAGGATTCCATCCTGGAAAAAAAAAAAAGAAAAAAGAAAAGAGACATACAAATGACTATAGAAGTTTCTTCTTTTTTTTTGAGACAGAGTCTCACTCTGTTGCCCAGGCTGGAGAGCAGTGGTGAGGTCTTGGCTCACTGCAACCCCCACCTTCTGGGTTCAAGCAATTATCTGCCTCAGCCTCCTGAGCAGCTGGGATTATAGGCACCTGCCACCACACCCGACTAATTTTTTTTTTTTTTTTTGTACATTTAGAGGCATGCACCAAAATGCCTGGCTAATTTTTGTATCATTTATAGGGTTGGAAATTTCCCATATTGTCCAGGCTGGTCTCAAACTTCTAGGCTCAAATGACCCAGCCACCTCACACTCAAAAATGCTGAGATTGCAGGTGTAAGCCACAATGCCTGGCCCATTTTTAAATAAAAGCAAATGATCATAAATTATGTCATAGTGCAATGGATCCTAATTTTTCAAGTGTTAGAATTCTCTTTTTAGGTAAGAACATTTTTAACATCTACATAAAATATGAATTTGTTGTTTCCATAAAAATTTATGACACCAATAAAATAATTCCAAGCTCCTCTCACTATCAACATTTTGAAACTATTTTTAGAGGGTTTAAGAAAATTCACCTTTGAAAACTTAGGATTTCTTTGGTATGTCATTGACCTGGAGTAAGAAAAAAACAGGCAAATAATTATAGGTAACATCATGCCATGCTTATTCAATTTTTTCTTCCTGTTTTATGTACATAATAATGAAACAAGCTTGGTGGGTGTTGGGCATTATTTACTCACTTTGCATTGTTATTTTAGGCAGAATGATTTTGGTTTCAAGTGAGAGAATTCCAACTTGAAATAGGCAGGATGTGATGAATATTTAGTATCAGAACAAAATTTGTTAATGCTGCAAGTATATTTGGCATCAGGGATCCTAGACCAGAGCATCAGATCCATTAAGATGTCTGCTGTCAGCCTATATTTACTCCCTTTATATAGAGAGAAATTTTTTAATGCACAAAAATTTTCCACAATGGCTGCCAGCAACTCCTGAGCCCAGAAAATTTGGGGTTAGATCATCTTTATTACAGCGAAAGAGATGGGAATTATGGTTCATTGCCAGTACCAAATTACAGCATTTGATGAGGAGAGAGGGGGCAATTCCCCAAAGAAAGGAGTTGCTAACATAAAAAGGAAAATGTTCTGTAGACACAGTTAAGATGGTGTTTTGTCACTAAAAATTTCTGTAACACAACAATATTCTCATTCAGACTACATTGTGATTTCTTTTTACCTTTTATTCTTTTGTACTCCTGAAAAGAAGATGAGATAATAAAGGAAGTAGGGGATCAAGCACACACATCAGCATGCACACACATGCACACTACTGATAGCTCATTCTCCATTGCAGATTCTCCTTATCTTCCCCAGCTCTCAACATTGGAAGAGCCCAGAGCTCATTCTCTCAATATATCTTCTCTTTTCTATGTCTGCCCATTCTCTAGAAAAGTTCATCTATGCTATAGCTTTAAATACTATCTATATACACATAGCAACCAAATGTATATACATAACCTGAGCTCTCCCTTAAACTGTACTTTTACAACTAACTGTTTTCAACCTTAGTAAGGCCAAAACTGATATATTGATTCCCATTGCACTTTTAGTCTTCCAGATCTCAGGAATGGCAATTTAATCATCCAGCTGTTCAAGTCAGGAATCTTGGCATCATCTCTCTCATAGTATCTGTCCAATTCACAAGAAATTTCTTTTAGTTTTATCCATGAAATATATCTATTTCCACATTCTTTCACTCCTCCACTATCTACAGAAATCAGTGGTTCTCATTTGAGGGTGATATTGCTCCCTACTCATATTATTGGGTAATATCTGGTGATATATTTGCCTGTCAAAATGTCAGGGTGCTACTGTCATTCAGTAGGTAGAGGTTAGAGGTCCTACTGAAAAGTACAGGCAATCTCCCACGGCAACAAATTATCCCTTCAAAAATGGCAAGAGTACCTAGATTGAGAAACCCCAACTTGCAGCAAGATCCCATTATCTCTAACTACTATTTTCCTAAAATATGTTTCTAAATAGTCTTTAAATTTCTTGCCTAGCTATCCACCTACAATCAAGTAATCACAGAGGAGCCAGAAGGATCCTTTTCAAAAGCTCTTTAGATAAAATCACTCCTTAGCTCACAGCCTTTGCAGGCATCCACATGGTTCACATCATCACTTCCTACTGGTCTGTGCCCAAATGTTGATATGCTGTGGAACCTTTCATGCCCACACAAACTAAACTGGCATATGCTTGCAACACCACTCTCTGTTTCTTAACCTGCCTAATTTTTTTCTTAACATTTTGCTATACTCATTATCCACTTATTTACCTTTTTATTTTCTGATTTGTTAAACTGGAACTTCATGAGAAACATTGTTTTTTTAAGTGATATATTCCCCAGTCACTAGAATTTTGCCTAGTACATGAACCTGATATCTTTGTTGAATTTAGCAAAATATATTTATTTTATGTTTTATATATATAACAAAATTATCACCTTTGATTACTTAGGATTTCTTGAGGACGTCATCAACCTGGTGTAAGAAAAAAACAGGCAAATAATATCATGCCATGCTTATTATATAATAAATATATATGATATGTGTGTGTGTCTGTGTGTGTGTATGTGTGTGTGTGTGTGTGTGTGTATGTATATATTAGTTTGCATGTTGGTCCCTTCCAAACCTAATGTTGAAAGTTGGTTCCTAATATTGGCGGTGAGCCCTAATGGAAAATGTTTGCATCATGGGGATGCATTTTTCATGAATCCTTCTGGGAGGGTGGGGAAGTGAGTTTGTTCTTACTCTATTAGGAACAGAGAAAGCTGGTTGTTTAAAAGATTCTGGTACCTCCCTTTCCTCTTTTTTGCTTCTGCCTTCTGACCATGTGATACTGACATGCATCAGCTTCTCATTATTTTCCACCATTGTAGAAACTTCCTGAGGACCACATCAAAAGCAGGTGTTGACCCCATGCTTTTTTTTTAATCCTGCAGAACGATGAGTCATTTTTTTAAAAATAAATTATTCAGTCTTAAGTCTTCCTTTGTAGCAGCACAAATGGACTAAGACACATACTGTATTTATTTATTCACATATTCTGTAAATAGTTTTGAGATATCTTTCCTTTCTTATTTAAAAAAATATTTCATTATATTTTCTGTCAATATATTAACTGTCCATACACTATTTTCTTGTTCCCTCTTTTCTGTCCACCCTTAATTGCTAGCAGTCCTTAAAAGTCCTGTCTTCTGCTTTCTCTGATCTCACAATAATAATTTTTTCTTAACACTTCTTTTTAATGTATAACCTCAGTTACACAATGATGCTGTCATTTCCATTCTTATCTCATCTTCCCTCCTAAATTTAGACATATCCAAATGGAACTATGACTAGATTCCTTTAACACAACATGGCTCACCCAAATTACAAAGCAGTTGATTATGCATATTTAGATTTGTTACATGGTTATATGATGTGATGCTGATCTACCAGTATTCTTGATTTTCAGTAGCATTATCACTTTCGTTTTCCTCATGAATTGGAGTTTGCTCTTTTTGGTCAGGCTGGAGTGCAGGAGCATCATCTTGGCCCACTGCAATGTCCACCTCCCCGGTTCAGGTGATTCTCCTGCCTCAGCCTCCCAAGTAGCTGGGATTATAGGCACGTGCCACCATGCCCGGCTAATTTTTATATTTTTAGTAGAGATGCGGTTTCACAACGTTAGCCGGGCTGGTCTCAATTTCCTGGCCTCAGGTGATTCACCCACCTTGGCCTCCCAAAGTGCTAGGATTACTGGCGTGAACCACTGTGCCTGGCCTACCTTTTCTATTAAAACAGAAAATTGCAAGATGTTCTTTTTCAGTGTTTTCTTATTTTCTTTTCACATAGGCTTGAACAAAAAATCTCCATCATCTGTAATAAAAGTAATTATATACTCTGTTTTAGCCTTTCCATTGTTGCTTCAATGCCTCTGTTCCAGATGTCATTATTTTTTGCTTGAAATATTATAACATTCTGTTGAATTCCATACCAAAAATTTTAATTTTGTGTATTGCCTTCGGAATTCCATTCTTTAAAAGTTTTGATAATCTTGTTCCTGGTATACAGAGTACCTAAAGTTAAACTTAACACTTTTTTTAGCTTAGTATAACAGCATTCCATCACAGATTTACATCCACCTTTGGGATTATATCTTAATATTCTCTTTGGATCTGCCTCTAAACTCCTACCACAAAGAACTCCACACCAGTCCCTTGAACCACCATGCCCTTGATTATATCTTTCTTTGAATTGTTTCTTTTTTGTCTCTGGAATACTCTATTGATGTTACCCAAAATATTCCTAATCCTCCTTTTAAAGGCCGACTAAAGTTTGCTTTGAGACATCTGTGATCACATTTACCAGTTATTTTAATTTCTCACTTTATTTCTCCTCTATGAAATTGCTTTCTCCTGAGAAAAACCAGCAAAGGGGAAATTTAATAAATGGTGTTGGAAAAACTGGCTAGCCATATGCAGAAAACTAAAACTGGATCCTTTCCTTATACCTTATACAAATATCAACTCAAGATTTATTAAAGTTCTAATGGTAAAATCCAAAACCATAAAAACCCTA